GGTTCGGGATCGCTGTTAACTGGTTTGATGGTTAATAGGCTATGTGTTTAGTATTCGATATTGGTGTAGCGACGCATCGATTCACCAATTATTATCGACTAGGGCTTGTTCGGGGGTGCCTGTGGCGCCCCTCACAACCATTTACGGCCTTTGGCCAGGAAAGTCACGAAAAAAATACACACGAACGACACGTTCACGCAAGCACCCGATGCTCCGTTTTGAAGTTTTAAAATGAAACATCTTTGAATTGTATTATGTTTTGAATTAGATAATTGTATTTCTTCATTAAAAGCTTAAATCATTTTACATCTGGAAAACTTAATTGAAAACGACATTTCGTGTGAATTTTCTCTCGTCGTTAAGTAGATGGCCTTGCTGGGGGCTCGGTTCGATGCGGACTTTCACCTGGTTGGGATTGCGGGATCTAAATAAGGCGACACAGAGCAGCTGGCCGTGCGAGAAGACCGCCGTCTGCAGATCGATTCCAACGTGATCGAACGTCTGACCCTGCGCCTACGTCGTTCATGCAGGGGGAGCGTGTAGATTTGCACCGCCCCCTGCATTAAAACGACGGAAAGTGCAGCGTTCATCACATAAATAAAGTTGTGCGCTTATATAAGAGTATTTTAAGCGAGATTAAACATACAATTAATCGCGTTTTTTTATTCGGACATGTTTTTTCGGACATGTTTTTTCATCCACCAGAGGCCGTTACAGTAAAAAAATATAACAATTGTTGATTTTTTTAATCGAATCGTGACCCTAAAACGTGACAACTCACGCAATCTTCAGTTGCTGAATGGCACACTGAAAAGATTTCGCTATTCAGTTATTCAAACTCTCGCCTGCAAGGTATAATACATACAGACACAGAAGCACACAGATCAGCAGGCAAACATCAAACTCCCCACGCATCATCATTCCTGGTATCCAGACACCCCACTGCAGGTACAGTACAATGCAAATGCAAGATAATGCACAGAAGACGCTGCATTCATGGACTGAGGACTGATCAATATCAGCCAGTGGATTACGAACAATCCACGCTGCATGCACGCCCATCTCATTAGAGAAGCCAAGCAGATTGAAACCTGGCAACGTAGAGTACGGTTACTTGGATATGCTACCTCAAATTCCCAGGTGTAGTAAGCTTTGGCTGCGACGTGGCCAAGAGATGTCATTGCAGGTGATGTCTACTTGAACTTATTTTGAGCGTTCTCCCCTCGTGTGTGTGGGGTTCTCTCTCCAGTGTCCTCCCAAAAGCCAAACATGCGTGGTTGGAAATGGCCCAACATCCCAATCACACTTGGCATCTGGCATTGCGGTGAGGAGGGTGTGTGGGGCGTGGACACGAGTCGAGTCCCAATTCCGAATCTAATCCGAAATTCAGCTGAGCCTGCACATTTAAAACTGAATCGGCATTTCCGTCACTGTCGCATTGATGTAATCGCCAGGAAAGCGAAACGCCTCTTATCTGTGATGGGTCTGAAAACTCAAATGTCTTATCTAGAGCCATAACTCAATCCAAAAATAGGCCGTTGTTCTTCTCGGGTAAATCCTAATGTGTCCCCGATTTTTAACGGACAAGTGGGGCGCTGGAGTGCACGTAACGGTGGTATTGTGAGGCTCTCTTTCTGTGTGTGTGTGTTTTGGAATTGTACCCAAATGTTCTTCGGCAGGATGTCCGACGTTTCGCTATGCTATGAACCCTGCCACCCGAGTTTGATGCCCGGTCATGGCTAACGTCAGTGGTGGGTGATAACTTTGAACTATTGAGTAATTTTTGGTATCTCATGGTTTTCTGACCGATACTATTTTTCTGTTATGATGGAGGGTTCTCGTCATTTAGAGATATGGCCAGTCCTTGATCAACCCGACTTCACCATCCCGCACTGACCAGCGTGGTGAAGTATGGTCAAACAACCCGCATGGCTGATACAGCGTGGGGAGACCATATTCCAGCAGTGGATTGACAGAGGGCTGAAAATGAATAGCATCAAAACAATTACGGTAGTATTATATACGTTAGTTACCTCGCATTTGCCCCCGATTAAAATTTACAATTCGATCTTTGGGAGACTGTATGATTATTTTTCGAAAATTGTGAATGCAACGGCCTCTAGTGGCTGGAGGGGCTTTGACTAAAACTTCAACAAGCAACAAACAGCGATTCACAGCGGTGCAATTTCTTACATGCGCTGCATCAATTTGCTAATTAATATAGTACGGTACAATACCGGTGTTCAATGGATCGATGCATAAGCTGCAACACCCCTAATGCACACGTTACAATCTACACCTGAAAGCACGTGGTACAGTCATTGATAAGCGTGTATGAATGAAAGTGTAGTCCATGTACATCAGACCCTTGTTTAATCCACTGCTTGGATGAGGACCTCACAAACACCGCTGGTCAGTGCTGGTTGGTGAAACGTGTAGCGCAGGGGTCGGGAACCTATGGCTCGCGAGCCAGATGTGGCTCTTTTGATGATTGCATATGGCTCGCAGATAAAACAAAATATTCTCACTTGTTTTAATCCATCCATCGATTTTTCACTGCGCATGTCCTGTTCAGGGCTGCAGGAGCAATTGTCCATTATTTTAATTGGATGATACTGGCCTACGTTTGCCGTTGCTGGGTAAAACAGGTAAACGCCCCCTTTTGAATCAGTCTGAGACTGCGTCTGCTCGGTCATTAGCTCAAAGCTAACCCTTCGACGAAGAAGATGGCGAAAAGAAAAAAAGACGACGAGTATCGTACATTTCAGGACGAATGGACCGAAGAATTCGCCTTTGTGGAGAGAGCGGGTTCTGCGGTGTGTCTAATTTGCAATGACAAAATTACATCGTTGAAACGGTCGAATGTAAAGCGGCACTTCGACACGCGCCACGCTACCTTTGCATCAAAATACCCTGCGGGAGACAGCAGAAAGAAAGCGTGCCAAGAGCTTCTGAGCAGGGTGCAAGCTAGCCAGCAGCAACTCCGGCGTATGGACCCGGCAAGGTGACTATAATTCGGCTAGCTTTGCTGGTTCTTTAGCAATAGTGAGGAACGGAAAACCATTCACAGATGGCGAGTATGCTAAAACGTTCATGCTGGATGTAGCCAATTAACTTTTTGATGATCTTCCGAACAAAGACAAGATAATCAAACGGATACAAGACATGCCTCTGTCGGCAAGAACTGTTCATGATCGTACCATCGTGATGGCAAACAAAGTGGAGGAAACGCAAGTGAAGGACATAAATGCAGCGCCGTTCTTTTCTCTGGCTTTGGATGAGTCAACAGACGTGAGCCATTTGTCGCAGTTCAGCGTGATTGCAAGATATGCTGTTGGTGACACACTGCGCGAAGAAAGTCTTGCTGTTCTGCCATTAAAAGGGTCCACAAGAGGTGAGGATTTATTCAAGTCTTTCATGGAGTTTGCTCAAGAAAAAAGTCTACCTATGGATAAACTTCTCTCAGTGTGTACTGATGGTGCTCCGTGTATGGTGGGGAAAAACAAAGGATTTGTGGCGCTTCTCCGTGAACATGAAAATAGACCCATCCTAAGTTTCCATTGCATTATACACCAGGAGGCACTTTGTGCTCAGATGTGTGACAGGCAGTTTGGCGAAGTGATGTCGCTGGTCATTCGTGTGATCAACTTTATTGTTGCCCGAGCCTTAAATGATCGCCAGTTTAAAACACTGCTGGATGAAGTTGTAAATAACTATCCTGGTCTGCTTTTGCACAGCAATGTGCGTTGGTTGTCAAGAGGGAAGGTGCTTAGCCGTTTTGCGGCTTGCCTGAACGAAATCCGGACTTTCCTTGAAATGAAAGGCGTCGGGCATCCTGAGCTAGCCGACACCGAGTGGCTCCTCAAGTTTTACTATCTCGTAGATCTGACTGAACATCTGAACCAGCTCAACGTGAAAATGCAAGGCATTGGAAATACAGTGTTATCCCTTCAACAAGCTGTATTTGCTTTTGAAAACAAGCTGGAGCTTTTCATCACGGATCTTGAAAACAGGTCGTTTACTACATTTTGAAAAACTGAGCCAATTTAAAGATGCATGCACAGCAAGTGAGCCCATTCAAAACCTTGATCTCCACCAGCTAGCTGGCTGCACATCCAGTCTCCTACAGTCCTTCAAAGCACGCTTTGGAGAATTTCGTGAGCACACTCGTCTTTTTAAGTTCATCACCCATCCAAACGAGTGTTCACTGAACACAGCCGACCTGAATTACATCCCTGGTGTCTCCGTCAGAGATTTTGAAGCAGAAGTGGCTGACCTGAAGGCCTCAGACATGTGGGTGAATAAGTTCAAGTCACTGAATGAAGATTTGGAAAGAATCACACGACAGAAAGCGGAGTTGGCGAGCAAGCACATGTGGACAGAAATGAAAAAACTCCAACCCGAAGACCAGCTGATTCTCAAAACTTGGAACACGCTTCCTGTCACATACCACACACTGCAGCGTGTGAGTATTGCTGTATTGACCATGTTTGGATCTACGTATGCATGTGAGCAGTCATTCTCACATCTTAAAAACATCAAGTCCAACCTACGATCACGTTTAACGGATGAAAGCCTCAACGCTTGCATGAAGCTTAACCTCACCAAGTACCAACCCGACTACAAAGACATCAGCAAATCCATGCAGCACCAGAAGTCGCATTAATGGTGAGTGTTATAACATTATTTAAAAGAATAAATTCAGAGGCTTATTATACTGACATTTAGTTGAATTCACTTTTAAAATATATTATATGGCTCTCACTGAAATAAATATCCAAATTTTTTGCTTTCATGGCTCTCTTAGTCAAAAAGGTTCCCGACCCCTGGTGTAGCGGGAGCATATAGGTATAGTACAACAACTGATTTTGTTGCACTGCACACAAGCCCCCTCTGCCCCCCCCCCCCACCGCAGTAGCCTATAACAAATAACATGTTTTTGATGCACAGGTACAATGAAGAAGGGACATTGCGAAACGTCGCCCCATTATTACATTTTGTTTATTTTACGGCCACAGTGTTATTGACGAATGTGTTGAGTTTTTAGTTGTTGTCGCTGTTGTATTTCGTACGGGTTGGTAAAATCTCCCGTCCGAGAAATATAATCCAGGCTCAACGCCTGCTTCGCTTGGGGTGGGAAGGAGGGGGGAAGAAGGACAAACAAAAATCGAGAAGAAGAAAAAAAACCTAAACGACAAACAGCGACTGTCGCGATTGGAACCGGGTCCGCTCCGGATACGTTGGACAGCTCCGGCTAGTGGCAGAGAGGATCCGGCTCTAACACACGCACACGGAACAGTGAAACACATACACGGAACACAGTGAAACACATACACGGAATCAGTGCAACACACACATACACGGAACACAGTGCGACATACACACACAGAACACAGTGAAACACACATACACGGAACACAGTGAAACACACGGAACACACTGAAACACACACACACGCCACCACCACCACTACCGCCGCTGTGGTTAAAGCCATGCTGCGTTGTAAAGGCCGCTGCTGGCTATGATGCCTTTCGCGAGACGTAGGAACGTGTACCTAAGGCATCCGCTGTGGTGTTGAGAAGGTAATGGTGGTGGTGGTGTTGGTAGTGTTGTGAGGATGGTGCATCGTGAATGATCTCGTGTGGTTATGTTAATAAGCCGGCATCGAGAGGAAAATGATTTCCGGAAAGTGTCCCGACACCTGCTGGTTCCTCTCCGCGTGTTCGTACATCTTATAATTAATATATATCATCATGTATACATCGTTTCTTGGTGCTGTGCTACGCAGTGTGGATTCGCGTTGTGGCTTCGCGTTGTTTATACCCTGCGCCTGGTCTCCGTGTTGATGCGCCCAGCGGTGGCGCGTTGGGTTAACGCACCTCGGAGCCAGGTTAGACTCCGGCCCACGGCTATCATCAGTGGCGAGTGATGTCTGAGCCGCTCCTGGGATAACAACTCTGCATTGACCAGCGTGGTGAAGTATGGATGTGCACTGTACCCACCCATCCCCACCTCCATGATGGACACGGAGTGCGGACGGAAGACTTCTTGGCCAGCAGTGGGTTGACAGGGGATGAATCATTTACTCATGTTAAACATTGCATACATTGTACCGTATGTGATGATGATGATAATGATGATACGATTTGTCCATATTCGTACATTGTATAAACTATGTGCGTTGTGTCCAGGCTTCGGGATACATCGCATCCACCCAACATGTGTATGACACGATGTGATTGCGTGACTGTATAACAGCATGCCTATGACATGTGACGCTTGTGCACGTGTATGACATGTGTTTTGTATGTGATGTACTGTATACCTCATATCGTGTTACGAATGCACGCATACAATTTGCATATATAATGGTATATAACAACACTGATTATGTATGCATGATGCTATACAACATCACCATTGTTAAATGTGAGCGTGTATGACTAAGTATGCGTGTCATGTATGTCACACGTGTACTGTATATGATAACGTGTACATGTAATCGTATGTATTTCAGCATGTTCTGCTATACCTTGCAGTGCTTTTTTTACAAAGCTGTTTAATACTGACGCTTTGTATGAATTGGCCAGCAGCAAAAGTCAGAAGAGACACGGTGATACTGTCCTGTCTCACAGAGACACGGTGATACTGTCCTGTCTCACAGAGACACGGTACTGTCCTGTCTCACAGAGACACGGTGATACTGTCCTGTCTCACAGAGACACGATACTGTTCTGTCTCATAGACACGGTGATACTGTCCTGTCTCACAGAGACACGGTGATACTGTCCTGTCTCATAGACACGGTGATACTGTCCTGTCTCACAGAGACACGGTGACACTGTCCTGTCTCATTGAGACACGGTGACACTGTCCTGTCTCACAGAGACACGGTGATACTGTCCTGTCTCACAGAGACACGGTGACACTGTCCTGTCTCACAGAGACACGGTGACACTGTCCTGTCTCACAGAGACACGGTGACACTGTCCTGTCTCACAGAGACACGGTGACACTGTCCTGTCTCACAGAGACACGGTGACACTGTCCTGTCTCACAGAGACACGGTGACACTGTCCTGTCTCACAGAGACACGGTGATACTATCCTGTCTCACAGAGACACGGTGACACTGTCCTGTCTCACAGAGACACGGTGACACTCCCGTCTCACAGAGACACGGTGATACTGTCCTGTCTCACAGAGACACGGTGATACTGTCCTGTCTCACAGAGACACGGTGATACTGTCCTGTCTCACAGTGACACGGTGATACTGTCCTGTCTCACAGAGACACGGTGATACTGTCCTGTCTTATAGAGACACGGTGATACTGTCCTGTCTCACAGAGACACGGTGATACTGTCCTGTCTCACAGAGACACGGTGATACTATCCTGTCTCACAGAGACACGGTGACACTGTCCTGTCTCACAGAGACACGGTGACACTGTCCTGTCTCACAGAGACACGGTGATACTGTCCTGTCTCACAGAGACACGGTGATACTTTCCTGTCTCACAGAGACACGGTGATACTGTCCTGTCTCACAGAGACACGGTGACACTGTCCTGTCTCACAGAGACACGGTGACACTGTCCTGTCTCACAGAGACACGGTGATACTGTCCTGTCTCACAGAGACACGGTGACACTGTCCTGTCTCACAGAGACACGGTGATACTGTCCTGTCTCACAGAGACACGGTGACACTATCCTGTCTCATTGAGACACGGTGATACTGTCCTGTCTCACAGAGACACGGTGATACTGTCCTGTCTCACAGAGACACGGTGATCCTGTCCTGTCTCACAGAGACACGGTGACACTGTCCTGTCTCACAGAGACACGGTGACACTCTCCTGTCTCACAGAGACACGGTGACACTGTCCTGTCTCACAGAGACACGGTGACACTGTCCTGTCTCACAGAGACACGGTGATACTGTCCTGTCTCACAGAGACACGGTGATACTGTCCTGTCTCACAGAGACACGGTGATACTGTCCCGTCTCACAGAGACACGGTGATACTGTCCTGTCTCACAGAGACACGGTGACACTGTCCTGTCTCACTGAGACACGGTGATACTGTCCTGTCTCATAGAGACACGGTGATATTGTCCTGTCTCACAGAGACACGGTGATACTGTCCCGTCTCACAGAGACACGGTGACACAGTCCTGTCTCACAGAGACACGGTGACACTGTCCTGTCTCACAAAGACACGGTGATACTGTCCTGTCTCACAGAGACACGGGGATCATTCCCCTATCTAAGAGACCTCGACTACAACAAGAACGGTTGACATGCCGCAGAAGATCAAAGTTGGGTAACTGTGCGAACGGAATCATCACGGGCACATTCGATCCACGCCACAGGTTCGTGCCGATGTGATGGCGTTCAGTCCGGATGCTTCATTTGCCTCCTCAACGGAAGCCCTCTGGGTGCTCTCGGTCACCTGGACACGGTGTGAAGTGGCAATTCAGGTGCTGGGCAAAACTTTTGCCCGACGTCCTCGTCACCGCAGCTTGGCGTCAAATCGGCGGCGGGGGACGGTGGTGGTTTGTTGTAAATTGCCGACCAGCCCCCACTGGACGCGTCCGTGGACAAAGAGCCTCTTCATCGCTCGTCAAACGCCTCTCGTCTAAATAAAGATTCTTATTTTGATTAATGTCACCAGGAGCCACGGCGGTAGCGTTGGCCTCGGCGCCGCACCAGAGATGATTCTCACGAAGAGAGATTCGGCCCCTTCCGAGCGTCGACCAAACGAGTTGCCGCCCGACCTGGTCCACCCAGTTGTAGAATTCCCTGCTCCAGAGCCACGTCACTCGGATGCGAGGGGTCCCCCCCCCCAACCCCACCCCCCACTATGTCTTTGTCCAGGCACCGGCATTCCACGTCGGGCCAGCCAGCGGAGCTAGCGAGGAAGTTCCCGCGAGCACACGCTCACCCGGCAGGCTTCTCGAAAGTGGCTTCGGTGAACGTGAGCCTTCGATCCGGCGCTACGGCAAGGAAGAGCCCGAGTTCACGGCCGCTCCGCCGTACCTAGAGCCTCTTGTCCGGCTTTTGCGCCATTGCGCGGGCGGAACACGCACGGCGGTGGGGGGGTGGGACACCGTGCTGCTGGTCGTGCTCTTATGAAGTCACCGCCTTCCTGAATTGTCCTCGACGATGATCTGAGCACCCTCCGTTAGGGTAGTCTCGAGGCTGGCAAAGTCACAGGCTTGGCTTACTAGACTAATGTGTATCTGGGACGTTGTGGCGGGCGAGTCATCGGTGAAGATGTTGAAAAGCGTTGGGGCAGAGCCCCCCCCCCTCCCACCTCGAGGCAAATCGTCCTCATGTGCCCTGCAAAGAGGTGATCTTGATCGCCGATGTACAGTTGGACACAACGATCCTTCTCGTGAGCACGGCTGCACTCTTGTCAACTTTGGTCACGAGACCGCTTGTGGCCAGACTGTGGCACACTGCTGGATGAAGGCCACCGCACGCAACGTCGCGTCACGACGGATCGTTTGGCCAAATTTCACCGTGGTGGTGGTGTGGGTTGTTGAAAGGGCGCGAGGTGGTGGGCGACTGGGCCTCTGGACCAGTCGGCTCGCCGCTCGTGTTGACCGTCGCCGATTGTTGGGTTTGCAGCGTAGTGCACTAAACATTTTCTCCACGTGTAGTATGTATACAACATGCGATGGGGCAAATGGTCAGTGCGCAATAGTGCATGTACGTGCAAATGTGACTTGTCGTGTATTTTAATACGGTGCGTGACTGCACGGATGTATGAATGACACTGCATGCACACTCTACAACGGGTTAAGTATGCAGCGTGTGATTTACGTGTGGATGCAATGTGTGCCGTTATACAATGTGTCGATGTATAGAGGACTTGGTTACTGTAGGGATGCTGTGGTGTGCACGTTGACTTGACACTCCGAACGGGGCGAACACATCCGTGACACGTCCAAATCGAATCAATTTCAGCCGAGCTGGCGGTCCACCATGAGGATTCGTGTCCCTCACTCCCGAAAGATCGTTGGGAATCAGCAGTGCAGAGAAACTCTCTTCTCTGTGACCCCGCCCTCTTATCAACGACTCTCTCTTATCTATGGCCACAAAGCGATCGACAAAAAACTTCTGTGATTCGCCGTCCGATAAACAGCAGCGCACTGCACTACGGATCTGGTGACCTGATTCGATTCCCAACCACAGCGAACCTCGGTGATTTCTGAACACATCCCTGACCCCTCTCCTAGGTGGACTCGGCATTAATTGAGTATCTGTTACAGTTGAGTAAACATCAGCGCTATGGGACACAAAGGCGGTCAGGCGTGGTGCTGGTCAGATCTCCTCTTGCGCCATACCGGCCTTCATAAGTGCTTGCTTAAAGCATTTGTCGCAACAGTCAATAAAGGGTTTGTTGGGGATGTTTGTCTTTGATCTGGGTGTGGTGCTGGCCACCCATCCCCTCATGTGCCGTGCCGGCCTTCATAGGTGCTCGCCAGCAGCACTTGCCCCAGTAGTCTGTTCAAACCATGGGGTGGGGATCTCTGTCTTTATTTGTTGTCTTTGTTTAGTTTTGAGGGGAACAGCAGTGAAGCAGTTAGCGGGCTGCACTACGAACCCGGCGAGTCGAGTTTGATTCCCACTTGCGGCCAACATCAGTGATGAATATTTGTGGCAGTATTGGGCCTCCCCTCAGCCTGAAATGTGCACCTGATGCAGTGTGTAAACATCTCCACGAGGGAGACAAAGACGGACGGGCAGGCTTGGCGTTCTTGCCACCCACCCCCTCGTGTGCCGTGCCAGCCTGGATAGGTGCCCGTATAGCCTATGAAGGCTGTTAGCATAATTATGATGACGATAGCAGCTGCATATCCCACAGGACCCAACTTGTCTTTGTTGAGTTGTTTGTGGGTTTCAGGAGAGTTCGACGGTGACATGTCACAGGTCTTTTCCAGCTAAGGTATGAAACTCAATATTTGTCCGTGGAATTGTTTGGGTTCCCCTTTCTCAGGTCAGGTCACGGTGGGAAGCAGGGGGGTGGACATCGACAATGGCAAGCCCCTCCCAGGCTCTGGAGTTGAGCCGCAATTCCGCCAATATCGCGGCGTCTCTGCCGGCCGTCACCGCGGCATCCGCCGTCGTGACCAAGCACCGGCGATGCGGCTCCGAGTCGCTCGTCTGGGACATGCAGGCCGCGGGGGGCTGGCGGCCCCCCGCTGCCGCCGCCGCCGCCGCCGCCGCGTGCGACGCGAACTCCCGGGGGTCCGCCGAGACGGCCCGCCAACCCGACAGCCCGCGGCTGAGCACGCGGCTCAGCTCGGGGCGAGGCTGCCCCAGCGTGGAATTCTCGGTGAGGCCTCGGAGCGCGTCTCTGTCGGCTCGCGGAGGGCAAGGTCCGGCGCAGGGCCCCGAGGGAGAAGTGAGCCCCTTCACGCCGACGATCGTCGGCTACGAAGTGACGGAGGAGAGGGCCAAGTTTACCGTAAGTCATCCTCGACCGTTTTCTTGAGAGAGAGAGGGTGCCGGGACGTGGAATGATGGGAGCCGAACGGTGAATTTTGTTCCATGCGATGTTGTTGAGCGATGTCGCGTGGTTAATGAAAGTGCTAGGAGTTTGGGTAATTTCAGTATGGGCGCAATATGAATGCAAGTATTATTGTTATATTCTGATGGGTTGATTCTGTTTTTCTGTCACTATTTACGCATTCCAGAGCCATTGATCCTTGCCTTCTGTCACCTGGGTGGTCTAGGCCCAGCAGCTAGGCAGAGGGCCTTGGCAAAAAAAACCTGATAAAGCTAGGATAAAAAAATATACTCCTGTATCTTAAATATTTCAAATACCAATGCATATGTTCAACAAATAATGAATTGATTCAGGCACGATTCGATACGCATATCGTGCGTGGAGGAATTTAACTTACATCGAAGAAACTATGCAGTGTTGCACACGTATTGGACACTAATCATAACAACATCTGCAAGAAAAATTACCTACTCAGGATGGATCAGGTCAGGGTTTATTAGGTGTCTACATTATGCTCTGCCAAAAACTACTGGACCGATCACGATGCGAAGGACGATCACTCGAAGGGTACTGATTTAATTAAATACGGACATGAATGTGTCTTGACAGGTCTGACCTGCCTCTGACCCTGAAATGTTATATTTTTAAATCATAATATAATTTAGCAGCATTCTTTGGGTTGTCATTACCGAGTAAGTGACAATAGCTCGGCTTGTTTAAATCTATATTTATATAAATACGTAGAGTGACTTACCATTTGGAAAAAAAAAACTGAATTATGACTCTTTAACAACCACTACTCTGCACTGCACGCTGTGATTTACACTTTTTTTTTCATAGTCGTAACCTTTTTCTAACGGTCTGTAATTGGGTGGAATCTGTAACGTGTAGCTTACTTCGACCACCTATGATTTATTTACTGAACCATAAATGTATTTATATTGCAAAAGATAATTTACAGTCCTTTGTCACGCCACTGCTGGATTAATGCATCCTTACTTCATTTCGGTCAGCGGTGGGGGGAAGGGGGAGGGGGGTCTGGGGGGGTGTTTGACCGTGGTCAGTGTGGGTTGGTGAAGGAGAGAGAAGCCCAGTACTGGTTTAGACTTTGAAGCATGGCCAGCGATCGAACTGAAGTCACCAAGTTGCAATAAAACGTAAGGGACATGGCAACATTCTTTTAATATTCACGAGTAGACCGTTGTTTTTTTTTTTGTGCGGGAAAGCATCTTCTGGCACTTTTTTTTAGCAAAATCAAATTTAAACGTGGCCGTGCAAGCGGGCCGGCACAGGGGGTGATCTCCTGTTGCCGTTTAAACCGAGCACACGTGGTTGAGGATGGATGTTGGTTTATTACTTGAATGTTACTTCGACAACTTTTTTTTTCGTGGATGATAATTGTAAGTTTCGGGGGGGGGGAGAGAATGACGGACGAAAATAACTGGGGCTTGTGATTACGCTCTGTCTTGATACTGAGGGATGAGTTCTTCAGCCGTCGTTGGCTTCTGCCTATTTTAATTACGGCTGTGCGAACGTGCGACCAGGAGTGTGATCCAAGGCTCGTGATTACGGTTCTGCAATTTGTCTCGCACCTTGTCAGTCGGAGCTGAGAATGTGGAGGTTCGGAACAGAGGAAGGAAACTTTGCGCGCTAGAGTGGTAATGCGGATATTGTAGGGGTTGGTGGAGCAGGGGGGGCACGAGGGAGGGAGGGAGGCCACACTGCATTAGCACGGTGGGTTGTTTTTTTTACGTACTACAAAAAAAACACTTGGGAAGAGCTGAGGGATGGTCAACCTCTTAGGCGTTTGTGGCCAGAGTAATATCCATTCACTTTACAGGCCTACAAGTGACGGAACTGGACTTTTTAACAAAGCGACTATAAAATAAGCTTCTCGAGTGTGGGCCCGTGCAGATGGTGCAGGGCATTTCATGTACGGAGAGAGGGTAAGAAAATTTTCAGTTTAGAATTTAAAAAATGGCGAGAAAGCAGGTATAACAAGAACAATACGTTTTACACCCTGAACATTAATGCATTATGAATAAATCGAAAAGGCCGGGTAAAACCATCAGCATCCACTTCATTAGTATTCCCCCCACAAATTATTAAAATGGCCACGGCTAGAGCAACAACTGGACTCCGTATGATCTGGATTTCACCATGACTGCTGGTCACTTTTAACAGTTTACTACCAATAAATTATTAATCAGATTAATCAGATTTTAATGCCAAAACGAGCCGTGTCGCTTAATCAACATTGTGCTTCAAAGTTGTTTTTTTTAAATGGTGAACAAATACGCGCAGTATAAGTGCATTTACGAGTTATGCAACATGCACGAGGTGGATGCCTTGGCCCGTTATTTATTTACACTCTCTGGGCGACTCGCACATTCGAGTGGACGCCAGCTAATTTCACACTCAGGATTTTAAGCGCACATCCCTCAAAAAGTACAAATTATGTATTAATATGGATTATAAATTATTTTAAAAAGTACCCTTGCCCGAGGCTGCTTTTGACTATATTTAGAGCCATTAGAAATCCTTGTTGCAGTTTTTTTTCCTCCGTTCTGGCGTGTTTCAATCAAGTCGGCCCATGTAGCGAGCCGTATATATTTTTACGATCTGAACCCAACTGTGATGAACACGTTTTTTTCTTTTCAAATTCCTCCGGCGAGCAATCGGGCGCAACCGGTCACAAAGCCCGAGCCTCTCTCCACAAGTCGGAAATAAACTCGTCGTGTGCATACGGCCAGTCGTGTAGCTCAATGTCCATTCAGCCATCCGACCAACCTGCCAGCAATACCGCAGTGCGTGCCATTGGGAAATAGCTGAGACTGATTTTACAGTCGGCATGACCTCTAATAACCTCACATTAAGCCCAGGGCCGCCACTTGATTCTTCTTATCACCTACAAGGCCCTCGGTGATGCTGCTCCCTCACATGTGCAGGACCTCCTTTGCCCCATTTGTTCCAACGAGAGTATGTCGGTCTTCCCGACCCGGGCCTGTTGAGTGTGCCGAGGTCACCGTCTCTGTACGATGGTGGCTGACCAGCGGGGCTTGTCTCCTGTGGCCCCTCGGCTTTGGAAGTCACCTCCACTGGACGTTCGCTCCGCTGACTCCCTCCCCTCCCCCTCGCTTTATTCAAATCGCACCTTAAAATTGAACTTTTTTTTATGGCTTTTTCTATTTCTCGAATTCTTTGTTTTGGGGTCGGATGTTTATTGGTGTGTATATTTTGTACAGCGCCTTGTGATCTGCAGGTGAAAGGCACTTTATGAGTGCAAATTATGATCATGATGATGATTATAACGAGGTAGACGCTGACGTGGGGCCCTGCACAACGAAATGTACCGTTGGCCCAACCGAGTTGACCCTGCCTGAGGGAGGTATCCCCACAATGGTGGCCCACACAAGACCTCTGCTGCCTCCCTCCCTCCCCGATTTGAGAGGAGCTGTGAACCCAGCCCGATCAAGCCTGTGGCCAAACAACCTGGATAGTACCCAATCTCATCAGTTCTGTCGAGCTAAGCAGGTTGGCGCTTGGATAGCGCGATTAGACACGTACAACATGTCTAGTAGGCTGCCGCCTTGGCTACTTTCTGGGCAGCGTAGGATGGTGCAACAACATCCATTGTTGTGCCGTAGTTCCGTGCCACGTTACATCTGCTGCCTTGATTTTTTTTTTTAAAGCCAGCTGTCAAGTTTTGGGCATAGCCACGGGGCCCACTTTCCACCCCGAGAACCGGAGAGCACAGCCTTAGATAATTAATGTCTCCGCACATTCACCAACTGGCACCGATGAGCACGGTGAAATGGTCCTCATCCAGCAGCAGATTGACACAGAGGGCTGTTCATGGCCATGGTCTCTCAGAGAGTCTGGCTTCCCACAGTCGTAGCTAACAAACCAGTAACACGTCAGATAAATTGATTCACAGTGCAGATATTCCAATTAGTACACCCACAAAGCTAGATCATGAGGTGGGAATATCTGTGGTCGCAATTGTCTGGAGGTGATGATAATTCACGAATATTATACCATCAAACAGTGGTTCTTAACCTTACCAGAATGACAGACCACTGTCTTGCCCTCTGCGTATAATCCACAGACCACAATGCACCAGTCCCGCATTTTTGAAAATGAAATCTAAATGAAAACTAAATTGTGGCATATGCGACAGTTTCCGAGAACCGCTTTCCCACGACCTTGCCCGAGCGCGCATTACGCACCGCATCGTCGGAGAGAGCGATTCGTGCACCGCCGACGAGCGCAACTCCCCCCGTGCGAACTTTTTTGCGTTTGCCCGTCCGATGGAGGGACGCGAAGCGTGCGGCTGCTCGTTGTAGGTCTCGCACCCCCAAGGCGCAGTCCCACACGCACGGTGCACAGTGAGCTACGGCGAGCAGCCGTGCGGCAGGGGAGCCTGATGTATTATTGATCGACGGTGCATAATGCAAGAGCGCGCTCGCGAAACGGACGGCGAAAAAGCTCCCAGAAAACGTTGCGTGAGCTACCGCCCCTGAATGCTAATTTTTTTTTAAAGAGGGCCTCGCCGAGCGCCGCTTTTGTTGTCGCTCAGCGTTAATGAATCTCCCGCCACCGTCTGGTCGCCTGCCGTTAAATTGCACCGGGTATTTGTGGCGGTATTTTATTATTATTATTATTATTTTCGCGAATGCCGCACGCCGGCCCGCCGGCCCGCCCGCGCAGTGTTTTCCGTGGCACGCAGGGGGTGGAATCGTGTCACGCGCCCGAGGGTCCCGGGTTGGCAACTGGCAAATCCAGAGACGCCGCGAGTGCCGCGATGCTGCCTGTAAGCGTGCTTTTAAGGAGGCCCTCCGTATAGCGCGCGGAGAATGTAGGCTGTGGGGGGCCGAGTCTATTTGAGAGGGGGGGGGGGGGCAGCTAGGTAGCTGGGTTGCTGGTGAAGGGGGGGGGGGGGTGGTGGAACGGGCGGT